CAATCTCACAGTTCTCTTTCACTATAACTATTATTTTAATGTTTGTTTATCCAGAGAGAGAGAGAAAACGAGCAAGCGAACGCAAGCAGGGAATGGACAGAGGGTGAGAGAGAGCGTCCCAAGCAGGCTCCATGTTGTCAGCACAGTGCCCCCACTGAGGGCTGCAACTCACCGTGAGCTGAAATCAAGAATCGGGATATTTAACCGACTGAGCAACCTAAATGCCCCTCCCTATAACTATTTTTCAGTTTAATTTGATACATCACAAATGCTGCTAGGTTTCCATTTATGTGTTTATGTATTTATTATTTTCATTAAAGTATAACATAATGCACATAAATGACAAAAGTGTGTAGTTCTCAGATGGAACATACTTAAAAAAAATTTTTTTTTGTTTTAACTTTATTTTAAGAGAGAGAGAGAGAGAGAGAGAGAGAGAGAGAGAATCGATTGATCCAAGGAAGGATGGAAGGATGGATCCAAGGATGGAAGGAAGGATCCAAGAAAGGAAGCAAGAATCCAAGGATCTCAAGCAGGCTCTGTGCTGTCAGCTCAGAGCCCGGTGCGGGGGCCTGAACTCATAAACTGTGAGGTCATGACCTGGGCCGAAACTGAGATTTGGATACTTAACCACCTGAGCCACCCAGGTGTCCTGGAACACATATTTGTAACCAGTCACTACTTCTGTCTGCCTGAAGGTTACCACCATCCTAGCTTCTAACACCATGCTTATTTTGCCTATTTTAGAAGTTTATATAAAATACAGTCCTATAGTAGGTGCTCTTTTGCGTCTGGCTTATTGTGTTCAGTATAATTTATCTGAAATTCATCCACATTTTTGCGTGTGTGGCTTATAGATGCTCCCTGTTATTCACTTTGTGGCTTAATTCACTTCATTCTGAAGTATCACAGTCCCTCTAGCTGCATGCAGGGAAAAACCAGCTTGAGTCAATCAACAGACAGCCAGGAGCTTCGACATTAATAATACTCGAGGAAACCTTGATGGAGGAAGTTAAGGGTAAAGCAAAGGAGATTAAAGAGGAAGGACTCCAGGTTACCTCCTTTAAGGTAGGCAGTCTGTGGACTGATGGTTAAATCAAAGGGAAAAGTGAGAACTGTCTTGTGTGGTCATCCCAGTTCTATGAATGACTGTATAGTATGGTGTTACTTCTGGTTATGGACTGTGCCTCATTCCCACTCATTCCAGATATGATGCACATAGGTAAAGGAAAATGATTGTGTGTTGCATTTCTTGATAAGGAAGAAAAGAGAAGGAGGAAAGGTTAGTAAGGAGGGAAGGAGAATGGAGAAAGGTGGAAAGGGATTCCCCTTGCCATGGATTACCTCTTGGGACCTCAGCCAAGAGCTGCTGGTAGCACTTAGGCATTGCCCTGATCTCTCTGTGATTCCAGAAATGCTGCTCCCTTATGGATTCTATGCAATACCCATGCCTTTATCTTCTTTAATCCTCCTAGAGATAGGCTCCCAAGAGTTTTTAGCATATTGTTGGTCTTCAAGGAAGATGATGTTATTTTCTCTCAGAACAATTCCTCTCATTTGTTTCCTCCTTGTAATTCTGGCTCATTGTTCTTCTCTTTCCACCTCCACTCAGGACCAAAAACCCAACCACATTTCTTTTTTTAATGTTTATTATTTTATTTATTAGGTTTATTCATTTTTGAGAGAGAGAGGGAGACACAGAATCTGAATCAAGCTCCAGGCTCTGAGCTGTCTGCACAGAGCTGGACGTGATGCTTGAACCCACAAACTGCAAGATCATGACCTGAGGTGAATTTGGACCCTTAACTGACTAAGCCACCCAGGTGCCCTCAAACCACATTTCTAAAAGAATTCTACCTCAAATTAGTGTGAACTGCATTTTTGTTAAATGGAAGTAAAACAAATGTATTCAGCTAGTTCCTTCCCTGTGCTCCAGCCTTAACCCCATTATTCACCAGGACGAAGTGTCTGATATCTGTTACTTACGTTGTGACAGAAATGAATTACACTGAAAAGTCAACATTTGGTGTCCCATGTTCATTCTTGAACTCTGAATTCTCTTTATGTTATTTATACTTTGGCCTTTGTTTCCTGTTAAAGGGGTTCCTGATCTTAGCATATGAAGGGACATTTGGTGAGGTGAAAAGACCTTCACTCAATCTATTCAACATTCAAAATATATCCAACACCTATTATGTAAGAGGACCTGTGCTGAATGATAAAAATATATATTATTCCTGATATTTATATTAAGACTAAACCTGGAAAGGAGAGAAAGATGGGCTGAGTGTTTTCGAATTTGGTTCGCTTCTTGGCCTATTGCTTCTTGCTTCAGCCAGATAAAAACTTGGGGAGGTCTCTTCCTCAGCTCTATGGGCTGGTCACTAATTCCCTAGGTCCAGAAATTAGAGGCTTTTCATGGCAGGAATTTCCTTCTTGGTGGGACCGATGCAATAGGGAGATTCTGATACTGAGTAGGAGATAGAGTTATAAGACCCAAAGGTCCTTCCAACTTGAGGATGTAGTGATACAGTGTATTCCAGTTGTCCAAGGGGACAGGCAGTTAATTATATGCTACAGTTGTGTTGTACAGTACTTCCTTATTTACACATAACTCCTATTGACATTTGATTCTCATAGTAAACCTAGGCGAAGCACACGAAATGGCCTCCACTTAAAATTGAAGGAAGGCTGGTCTACCATGCACTCTATAACTGTAGGTCTTAAGATTGTAATCACCATTAATATGCCTCTGACTCTAGGATGCTGTTTGTTATTACTCAGCTGCCATGGCCCAGAGAAGAAATTAAAATATGCTAAGTCTCAAAACAGTCCTATGTGTTAAAATACTAGAGGAAGCCAGCAAAGTAGTAGTATAAAACCTTGCTGTGGGTTTATTTATTTATTTTTTAAGGATTATTTAATTTTTTAGTTTTTAATTTTTTTTGCATAGGCTCCATGGCCAACATGGGGCTTGAAGTCCTGACCCTGAGATGAAGAGACACATGCTCTACTGACGAAGCCACCTAGGTGCCCCAAGTGTCTGTGTTTTTAGAGACAAAAAAAAAAAAAAAATAAGCTCTATACTAGGAGAGAATTCCTTACACCTCAGAGGTGTTAGGAAAAGTTCTGGAATCACCTGCATCTGAAAGACCTTTTAGTACTTTTGATTCTGTCTCGCAAGTCAGGCCGAACGATATCTGGGACCCAGTAGAGAGCGAGTTCTTAGGTTGACAAAGGATTCATTTTGTATATTTCCTATCTTCCAGGAGGTTCAGTGCTCAATTAGTGATTCTTGAAAATAACTGGGTATGTAGAAGTACTGTTTTTATCAGTGCTGTTAAACAGATAAGTGGACCGGACTTCACCTAGTGAGATCTATTTTCTCAAACTCAACCTCTAACTAGATTTGGCTGAAATCCATTAACATTTTCAAATGATATATCTGATTGATCGATATTTTGTTTCAAAAGGGAAAAGAGAGCCAGAAACCAATTTTAAGGCATATTTTATTAAGCAAATAGATTTATGAAAAATACCAGCTGCATCTTAAATTAATCATGGATGAAGTAGACAAATGCCAAAGGTTGAAAGATGGAGTTGAAACAGAGATCTTATTTCAGTAACTAAATTTTATCAAAAGAAATCCAGTTAGGTTAGGTATATCCACTAAAATAGCTACAGCAGCATGTTTGACAAAGAGATCACAATGACAGATTTAAGGGTTTGATAGAGTTGGTGTTTCATATCTTTAGAACTGATGTTCTTACAGTTTAACCTCTGATAACAGTACTGTAGTCATAATGTAACAGAACTGTAGAGAAATAGAGATTTATTTTTTCTATGTGCTAATTCCTTTTTCAGATCTTTATATGAAGGTGCTGTAGTGGATTTGATGTGATGGGTAATATTTTTAGGACATAGCAATTTCGAAATAGCCTTTTAATTTTATTTTGATAGTGAGGATTATATTTTGGATAAGATTGAGTTTTATGTTTATAGATTAATTTTTAGTAATTTTCTTTTAAGATAAGTATATTGAGTGCAAATTCCTAAAGAAAATACAGTATGTTTCCATGTCCATACCCTTTTGTTAGCAACATTAATTCCAAACTCTACATTGGACAGAAATCTAGATGAATCACTGTTTGCTTTTTAAAATTTTTTTATCTGTAATTTGTTGAAAATGTGCCTAGTTTTTAACTGCTCAGCTGAGAATACTCTGATGAAAAGCAAAACATTAAAGCCTATAATTAGCTATTTATATTTTTCTCCTCTTTAGCAGGAATGTCCTTTAAGTTTTCTCCTGGTTTGAAGCTGGCATAAGTACCCAAAATAATGGATAGGACTTGGAATGTGAAGTTAAGAACAGTGGAAATAATTGAGGCACGATCATTCAAGGCTGTTTTGTATTCATATTTGATATCTGTTATACAACAAGAATTGAGGGGAATGCGATGCCTTCTTGCCTCCTCTTTTAGACGCATCAGGGCCTCTATTTTTAAGACACCAAATAGTTATTTGATGGAATGAGTAGGTAGTAGAGTGGACATGGCATGGGCTTTGAATAGGCAGTTTGAGTTCACATTTACTTCTTGCCGTTCACTTGAGAACTTACCTAAGTTTGAGTTGCCCCCAAAGCTGACCCTGACACAAGAGTTTGAGTGTGTTCTAGTTATTGTTTGCGGAGTAGCAACCCACTACAAAACTCAGTGTCTTACAACAATGGCAACGTTTATTTTCTCACAAGCCTGTAATTTAGGCATGGCTCAATGGGAACATCTCCTCCTTGCTCTACTTGTCTTCTAGCTCAGGGCTAGAATCGCTTGAAGACTCAGTCAAATGTGTGGAATCAATGCTGGCTGCTGGCTGGGAACTTAACTGGGCTGGTGACTGGGGCACCTACATAGGGTCTTTGCATGTTGCTTTGTTGTTTCCTCATGGCACAGTGGCTGCCTTCCAAGAGTGAGTCTTTCAAAAAGGCCAGGGAGAAGCTGTACTGCCTACCTGGTGATCTGGCTTTAGCAGTTGTATTGTGTCTCCTCTGCCATAATCACAGACCCTCCCAGATCGAAAAGGTAGAGACATATTCCACCTTTATTTATTTATTTTTTACTCCAGCTCCTGATGGAAGAGTGTCAATGGCACATTTTGAGAAAAGTATGTGACATGGGATATACTGATGCAGCTATCTTTGGAAAGTACACTCTGCTACAGGGTACAAGTAGTTTATTTGGGAGATGGTCCCGGGAAGGCCCTGCAAGGCATGGGGAAGTGAGACAGGAAGGGAGAAAAACCACTAAAGGGCCTATGAGTGAGTTGGTTACCACTGGGGCTCAGTTCCAACCAGACCTTGTAAAGACCATGGAACACACCCTGGAATTGTTTCACTTAATTAAGGATAGGTAAGGTGGGGTATTTGTCCACCAACTCCTGTCCCTCATTGATTAAGGGTTGCTTTTTAAAAAGTGGTATTAACTCTTGAGCTCTTCAAGTCTGCCTTGCAGAGTGTTGAACATACTCCTGTAAACAGAAAAATTCCTTGGCTTGAGTGACACGGGGGCTTGCTGTAGGAAACCATCATGTTAGGAACCGTCCACATAGCTGTAGGTGATTTCTGGGGCAGGCCCAAGGGTGATCCATGAGACATGAACAGCTTCAGCTACCAAAACACTCCCTAGTCCCCTATAAAATAGCATTTCATCATGGGGGTTATATTGTGATATGTATCATAAAATTGAGAAATAATAAATTACTGCTTTTTCTACTGATGCTTTTCCGTATTTAACTTCCTAGTTAAGTATGGTGTTATCAGACCATATTAATGCTATCATAGGGCCTAGTTCTGATCTGTAGTGGGGCTTCTTTATAGTCATAAAATTGTCTAAATTAGTTAAAAGCCGGTTTTCCCTGTTCTGTGAATAATAGGGATCTTCTGCAGTTATGAGGAATAAATCCCTAGCTAGAATTGGGCTGAAGTTGGGCACAATAAAAAGACAGTAAAAATAAGATAGCATGCTATTGGTTACTACTTGAGAATGCCTGTGTATTTTTCTGTAAGTCATTTACTCCTTGGAGCTTCTGTTTCCTCATCTAGCAAATGGATAAAATGATGCCTAATTCATAGGGCTGTTGTGAGCAGTGTATCAGATGGAACGACATCACCCAGATAGGGCAACCTGAAAATGCACACTCAGTAACTGTCAGAGAGATAGATGATTACATAATTTATCCAGTAAGTACCATTTGTAAAATGTTTGTGGTTTGTTATGTTTATGGTCAATTTAATGGTCACTGTGCTGGGTTTACATATTTTAGTGGGCCATATTTGTCTTAAATGTATGTGATATCTTAGAGCTAAAAGCTTTAAGTTAAAAGACTTGGCCATTAATAACAGGTCTAACTGCCGAGTGGTTTAAGGTTTTGATAGAGCGTCTGATGGTTTTAAGAGTAGAAGCAGGCCTGAAAGAATGATCCTGCCTTTTTTGCTGCCATTGTCATTGCTTTTGCCTCTGTCTTTGTGTGTGTATGTGGGGGGTGTTATGTACATGCACACATGCATGATGTGTATACTGTTGTGTATTGGAAAGAAGAAGTGAGGATGAGATAAGATCAGATGGAAGAAGAAAAAAATCGTAGAGATAGAATAGGGGTGAGATTTGTGCTGTTGGGATGTGCAAGGTCAGGACTGATGTCAAATTGTCCGTCAATAATTGAAGAAGTTCATGGGGGTTTCACCATGAGAGAGGCAAGTAGGTTTATTAGCCCCGAGGCAATACCCACAGCTCCTATTGAGAGAGATAGGCACGCATTTTCATTTTGAGAGATTTAGCAGAGTGTCGATGTGGGTAATATTAACATAGCTGTGCCAATTTAAATGTGCTTTGGTGTAATTTAAGCCACCCACACAGTTTTCCTTTGAAAACACAAACATGTGACCCTCTCAAAATTGGAACCCACGCTCATTGCTTGTGCTCTGGACTCTTGCAAACTTACTTGGCAATCTAGTAAGTAACCTTTCTGAACTCTTGGACCTTTGCATGCCTGTAACTTTGAAGTCAAGAGCATGCCATTTATTAAATACAATTTTGCACTTGCGCTTGCGATTTTAAAAAAACAAAATTGAAATAAAGTGTTTTTCAAAGGCAGGCTTCCTGTTGGCTTTATTTTCTCATTTTTCCTTGCCCCATGGCATTTATAGGGATTTCCTTTCCTTGACCCAGGTACTCTGTGGGGAATGAGAGGCATTGTCTCTTTTTTTCATGGTGTCGTGGGTCAGGAATTTAGGCGGGGCTCCACTGGATCATCCTTCTCAGAATGTTGCTGATTGAGGTCACTCAGTGGTATTCAGTTGGTAGCTAGTCTGGTCTGGAGGGTTCAAGATAATTTCTCTGATGTCTTGTACCTTGGCAGGGATGTCTGCAAACATGGGCTCAGCTGGATCACTTTTCCATTGTGTACCCAACGCCTTTCCACAAGGTCTCTCCGTCACCACACTCCAGCTTCCTTGGTGGTAGTTCAGAGCATTACAAAACAGAAGTGGAAGCTGCCAGGCCTTTTAAAGACTAGGCCATGAAGTAGCCCACTGTTACTTCCACCTTTCTTGTTATTTGTGAAACAGGAAGAGGCCTGCTCAGATTCAAAAGTTGGGGAAGTAGATCCTATCTCTCAGTGAGAGACATGTAAAAAACCAGTTTCATCCATCTTTAATCCACTACAGTTGAATATTTAAAAATAACTCACTTATAGAATCTTTGTCCTTCTTAATCCTAAGTGTAAGTCTCAAAAAGAGAGATCCCAGAAAGATGTAGAATTACAGAAGTGAATCATACCATGCCTTAGAAAACAGAATCTGAAGCCAATGTGTTAGGTCTTAAATCTCGGTTCTGCCACATTCTAGCTGTGGGACTTTCAGCAGGTTGCATAATCTTTTCATGCCTGAATTTCTTCATTTGGAAAATGGAGTGATAGTACTTACTTTATAGAGAGAGTTACATAAAGTAACACATGGGAAGAATTGAGGAATCGTACCTAGAACATTATGAACGTTCTGGGAAGGAAGGGGTTCAGCAGCTAGTCTGCAATTCATTTCTCTTGTTACTGGGGGAACATTCACTGGAAAGCAAGGAGGCAAATGACTTGGCTTAATCTCCTTATAAACTTGCTAATAAATGATCTGGTGAACAGACTAATGGTGTTTGCAAGGAGGAGTGGTGTGTATGGACTGCTTTTGGCAGGGTGTCTCTGGTTTAGGATTCCTTGTGGTAAACACATCTAGGGTCCATGGATTTATGGGGCACGGCTCTCTGGAAAATGTCACGTGAGCGATGTAACTCTCTGACTGTAAATGGACATGTTTCATAACGTAAAATACTGCTGTTTGAGGTGACTGCATACCCAACTTGGAGAAGTCCTCTTTGAACACAGGTCAGAGAGTACATCTCTAATGTGGGAAGGAAGCACCTGGGAAGCCTGGGTTCCATATCCTGAACCTCTCCCTGCCTAACCTATGCCTCTGGGTGCTTGTATCCTTGAAGTTATTATACAGGGTGTTACTGGGTAATATCTCTGACTCATAGGAGTCTGATTTGGTAGTCTGATTATATTAACTCAGGCTCTGTAGATGTTAAGTAAAACAATTATTAAAATGACATACAATTTTAATTTTGGGTTTTTCCCCATGGAAAAATGAGGGAGGAGGAGCAGTCTTAAATATTTATCTGCTTTTACCAATTTTATTTTAATTAAGCTACTGGAGGCCCCACTGGAATGTATTTACTGAGGGCAGAATATGTTATTCTTTTGTGGGTACCCATGTTGTGGTGAGCCATACATTTATTGTATGGCTGATGTGCTTTAGTTTGATCTTGAGGCTGGTTGGCATATTTCAAATGATTCAGAAAGACCAGCTGTGGTATTAAGGGATTCATTGGTATAATTTTCTCTGTTACATTATTGTCGATTGCTATAGCCAAAATTCTGAACTAAGGCCTTTCATTTAGAATGTGTGAAAGCATAGCTCCTCTGTTTGCTACCTTGTTGGTAATTCCAAACAGTTTTTAATCCAAAAACAAGTTCTTTTTGGTTTAGGAATTTGCATTAACATTTGCATATGGCTATGCCAGGGTTCCAAAACCCTCCACATGTCAGGGACCTACCGTTTAAATGCAACCCAAGAAGAAATACCCAGCTGCTCTAGATAAGCAATTTATAGAGTACTTTTACTGCCATTTACAAAAACAATCATATGTGGGAGTGAGGAAACCCGCCTAGGTTCTCTGCCCCATTTCTCTCCCTTCTTGCTGATGATCTTGAATTACTGAGGCGAAGGGCCTCTGCAGAAGATGTCTGGGATGTGTTTAGTTTGTCTTGGAGCTTACTCCATACCTAAGTAAGAGATAATTATGTAAAAAGGTAGCCTAAACTGTGTTCTTCTGTTATAAGGGCACTACTGGGCAAGTGACCACAGTTTGGCCTGGGTGGAAGTGACACAGTGACAGTGCTGAAAGGTTGTACTTGGTTGGACGGTAGGATTTCACAGAGTCATTAGGGGTAAATAAGAGAGAAAGCTAATACTGCCACAGATGCACAGATGACAAATAATCTCTTACAAAATGTATTTTAGAGATTTACCTCATTTGATCCACCAGTGACACCAAGAGATGGGTTGGACAAGAAAATGTGAGTTTTTGTTAATGATAAACCAAGGCTTAGAGAGATCGATAAACCCATCTCATGTGGTAGTGAGCAGAAGAACTGAGGTTCTCTATACCCTGAAACCATGTCTGTCTCTCAAATAAAAGTCACCTCATAGATATGCTGAGTGAATTCAAATGAACCAGCTTTGACTGAATGGATGTGCAAGGGAGAGTCTTAGAGGCTTGGGATAAAAAGGTGATTGCCATGCCCTGTCCTTATGAATCTTGTAAGCTTGAAGAGAACAAAAGGGAGGCATTCATTTAGGTAACCTCACCCAAAGGCACAGTGGTGAGGTGTTATGCAAGTGACTTGATTTGTCCAATTTTTCAATGATATAAATTAGAAACTCTATGTATGTGATGATATCCCTTTGGATAGAGGGGGAGAAAGGAATAATTTGTACTCAATTTTCACAGATGCCAGCTCATCATAATAACAATGATGCTCTTTCTGTCTGAAAATGAGTGGGACTATCGCTTAGTTCCCTGGGGCGTTTAATTCTAGTCCAATATGATTCGTAGCTTCCCATGGAAATCTGGCATAAATATTTAGAGAAGAAATTGGACTAGCTGCTACTAGGTATTGTTATCACTGTATGAAGACTGGGTGCTTGAACTAAGTGTGGCTTTGAAATGCGAGTTTGTCCTTATCATGTAAATCAGGACTCAGTCCTCAGCTTTTTTCCCTGAGTACACACAAAGCTTGACTGCAAGCTCCAACGAGCTTTCATAGTCTTCTCCAGCTGTCTTGGCAACATTCATTCCTCTAGAAGCCAATAGAATGTATTCTGGCTTTACCCAGAATATTAAAAAAAAAAAATAGAAAAACAAAACTGTACTTAGGGGTGTTGGTTAAGATAATGGGACAGGGCATTTGATGTGAAAGAGTCTTGGATGTCAGGATGTGATACCTTATTAGGTCCAAGTTTAGTTTTATAGTGTAGGACCTAATTCATGAACTTTGAACCTTTATTATATGATAATGTTTGGATAGTATACTATGACTACAAAAAGAGAAAATGGAAGCTTGGAGGTTGCAGTCCAGGGCCGGTGTGCTGATCTCATCAGCATTTCCTGTCATTTGTCTTGCCACTTTAGTTTTTGGCTTCCATTGCAAAAGATGACTGCCACAACTTTGGTCTTTGCAGTCATGTTTCAGACAGCTTAAAGAAGAAAAGATAGGTGCCAGCACCTGAATCATTGTTTTCTAAAGAGATCCTGCAAGCCCCACCTGGAGACTTCTGTTTCCATCTCCATGACTACCACTATGTTTCTTAGGCTGAGACTTGTAGGCTTCTTCATTCCCTCATTTTTCCCTCCCTCCATCTCTGTATACCTTTCTCTTTTCCATCCTGTGTTACTACCATCTGTCACACAAGGTCACGGGGAAGAAAAACAGTAAATGGGCAGTAGACAATGACAGTCTTTGTGACAGGTAGGCTTTTCTTGAATAAATTGTATCTTCTTCTAAACATTAGTGGATGATAAGAGAAGGAGATTTCTGTATAGTCTTTGTTCTTACTCTACTGTGACCAAAAATAAAATTGTGCTTACCATACATCTTGGGGTGGAAATGATTAGTAAATTTGCTTTTTCTTTTTAAAATTTATTTATTTTTTCCTACCAATATGGTCACTTGTTATTACTAGTACACTTCAGGGACTTTCCCCCCTGTCCTATGACCAATGCCTTCCAGAAATGAATTCCTTAATGTTACAGAGTTGTTAGTCATAAAATACCTTCGCATTTATTGTCTCATTTTTCCTCCAACAACCCTGCTATTTATTGCGAAGGTAGCTGGGCAAAAATTATCCCAACTTTACATCTGAGGAAACTGAGTCTCAGAGAGTTTCAGTGGTCTTCTCAAGGCCATCAAGGTAATACATAGCATAGTTGGCATTTAAAATGAATTATTCCATTTTTAAGACCATCCCTCTTTGCATTATACCAACTTATTTCATATTTGATGGGGGTTTTTAGGTGGCTTGTCCCAATTCCTTTCTTTGAGCCTACTTAGTTGTACCTATTCATTGGTAAGCTCCCTCTGCTTCCCATGAGTCCACATTGTTGTCTCATAGACTATTTCATATCCTTTTGTGATCCAGCTTGCTGTGGTCAGCTAACACTGAACATGGATTTTTGAGGTAGACTTGGAGGGTTGATATTCCCTTAAGAACTTTGATTCCCTAACTATTTATGCATTTTGAGAGGTTTGTAGGGACAGGACCAAATAATGATAAGGCATGACTAAAAGTTACACTTGTACGAAATGCCTAAAATTAGGCTTGGCCAAGGGAAATTGCTGGATGGACCGATGAGCTGTGTCACTTCCCCTGGCATGTTACCTGAAGATGACTGTGTTTCAAAGGCTTTTACTAGGTTACTGGAATCTGTTTCTTGCTGAGAAGAATAGGAAACTATTGGATTGATATCTTACCAGAGGGTACAAATAAATCTTGCCCAGACTGCTTGGAACTAACTTCCAGCTCCTTGACTCTCTCTTGTGATTAGAATACTGGCTTTAAATGACATTTCAGAATCAGGAAAGAACACATAGAGTGAACACTGTTTTGCATTTGTGTTAATGTTCCTCTCACTGTCACTCAGAAGTTGACTTTCAAGAGGGGGCAGGGACTGAGGCATTATAGAACTACTACTAGTCATGGGAAAAAAAACCTAATTAAAACATAATCTTCCCCAGGGACACCTGGTTGACTCAGTTGGTTAAGCGTCCGACTCTTGGTTTCACCTCATGTCATGATCTCACAGTTTGTGAGTCCAAGCCCCACATCGGGCTCTGTGCTGACAGTGTGGAGTCTGCTTGGGATTCTGTTTCTCTCTCTCTCTCTCTCTCTCTCTCTCTCTCTCTCTCAAAATAAACATTAAAAAATCTTCCCCAAACTCCCCTTCAATATGTTTATAGCATACTTTACATCCATTTCCTAGAAGTTGATGGATACATCAACTCATATGTTTTTCTGGGATATGAAATGTATGACAGGCATCTTCCTCTTCACCATACTCCACATAGGGTTGTTATCTTTCTTCTAACCTTGAAATTGAATATGGCTATAAATATGGTTGTCTGTTTTAATGAAATAGTAATAGATCCATTGTCCCGAATCATACTAGAGTTAAGTGAAGCATACCATTTGAGTTGTGTGGCTCTTTTCAACCTACTTTGCATTATAGAGTAGCTAGAGGGTGGGAGAGACAAGTACTGAGAGGTTTCAAATAAGGGACTGCCATTTGAACAGCAGCAGGTTATGGTGGTAGTGTTCGACAGAATGAAAATAATGCCACTTGAGGATGCTTCCTCAGATGTACGGATGCAAATAATACAGTGGTCAAACATTCTGTTAGATGACATAATCACGTTTGAATCCAAATCAACTCTTTGAAGTTAAGCAACTTTCAGGAGTGCAGAAATGCATGGTTCCAAAGGCTTCCCATTCACACTAGACTATGAGTGCTGTACCCTAGATATGTGTAGTGTACAGCTTAAACAACTGTATGTAACAACTCTCTATGTTCATATTCTACTAAGTCCTTTAAAATGCTCAATAACTTGGGGGATTGAAGATCCCCATATTACATTGCTCTAATTCCATTGATTAGCTTTGCTTTCTCATATGAAACATTGCAACAAAAAATAGTGTCAAGAATTAGTTTTTTTCCTTCGGTTTTTTAAATTGAGATATAGTATTATATTACTTTCAGGTGTACAAGATAGTGATTTGACAAGTATATATGTTACTCAGTGCTCACCACGATAACTGTAGTTACTATCAGTCACCATACAAAGTTAATACAATATCATTGACTGTATTCCTTATGTTGCTGTTTATATCCTCATGATTTAATTATTTTATAACTGGAAGTTTATACCGCTTAACCCGCTCTGCTTTGAATTTTTATGTACAAAATACTAGGAATAGAAAAAAAGAGAAAAGTTCTGTAGTAATTTGAAGTTTTTTTCCTAATGTTTTTACAGACAAGATTTTAAAATGCAAACCATTTGAGTATTAGCCATGTGGTCAGATAAGAGGTACTGAAAAGTAGGTAATACCACATTTAGCACATTGACAGTCTCTTTGTATTAGTGAATATTGAGGAAGTTATGTATGGGGGCAAAAGGAGTTGTGTAAAACACAGCCAGCAACCAAATGCTCTTCATATGGTTGCTCCTCAGTGTATTCTTAAGTATTTTTCATCAACAATAGTTTGGCAATCTCATTCAAGATAAAAATATATTCATTTTTATAAGTCCCCAGTACCTAGCACAATGCCTTCTAAGAATAAACAATAAATTATTTTTATTTCAGTTTAAGCAATAACTCAAAATACATAAATCCACATACCAGAATTCTCTAGGCCATGTCACATTGCCAAAAATTGATCAAATTGAGTGGTATATTCTTCTTCCCTCTCATACTATTCTTTTCTGTCACCTTACTATATTATTGACAGAATTGAATGTTATAGAATAGCTTGAAGGTCTGAATTCTTAAAAATATGTATGTTTGTAATTTTATTTGCAAATTTTGTTTGTAATAACATTCTTTGAATTGTCCATCCATCACTTCACTGAAAAAATTATACAAAATCTGAATCAAGAAAGATTTTATTGCATAACGTTCATTATAGTATTAATTGATCTAAAAATGAGGGCCTTGGTTGCTATTTTTAATCTCTTAATGGCTCCACTGAATTACTTTTCTTAAGGCACAGAAGACCACTTTATTCTTTAGATTGCATGCCCTAGAATCAGAAATTCCTCTTATTTGTTTGTTCTATAAACACAAGCAAGAACAAAACATGAATTCAGCAAGAAGACACCTCTGCAGTTTTGGGATCTGAGGCAGGAGGGAAAATGGGCTGAACCAAACCTGCTGGTCATGGTTTGAGGTGGTTGAAGGAAGCTTGCAAGTTGTCCTGTAGGTTTCCTTCCCTGTTCTCCCATGTTCTTTGCCATTGGTAGGCTAGAGTGTGATAACTGCTCCTTGTTGTTGGCAGTACACTATGGATCACTACTGAGATCACTGACAACGGATAGGGATGGCCTTCACCAAAGCAAGTCAGGGCAACTCCCGCGAGAGAAGTCATGGTGTCATCTCCTGGGATCAAATGGTCAGTATTCTCTTATTTACTCTTACCCAGGAAGCTGTTCTACAGGTCACCTGGCAAATGCACTTTTCCTTCTCAGATCCTGTACTCACAACTGACACTCTAAAAATGGCATGCCACACATAATTGCCCATGTCAGTTGACAATCGATTTTGTGGGTGACCAGTCAGTTTCTTTGATTAGGGTGCACAGTAAATGTGACCAGGGTTACTGGTTGATTTCTCCTTTGTGGTTACATATCGGATCACCATCAGGCCTGAGTTGTGAGACCCAAGAACAAATGCCATAAGAAGATACGATACCATATTGCCATGTTAAAAACACAAAATTCAACTGAGTAAATTTGAAGATCTAATTGGCTTTTTATTAAGTGATTGATGAACGGGACAGTATCCTGTCTAATAAGTAGGGAGATGCTCTGGGGATTTATACAAAAATAAAAGGTTTTTATACATAGGAAGGTGAGGCAAGGAAGTTCTTAGCAAAAGAAAAGAGAGGATTGTTTCAAGCCTGGACATCATCTTTTTTGGGAGAAAAGAGTGGCAGGATTTTTATCATAAAGATGATATCACTAGCACTGATCAGGAAATTTCATATTGATAAGAGATCACATTCCTGGAATAGGTTGAAACTGTAAGTCTTGGTTTGTAGTTGTGAGAGCAAATGGTTCCATTTTCTGGTAGAGAATGCAAAAGAGAGCTAAAATCAAGCAGGGTCCTGGTTTCCAATCAACATGATACATTTTATACCAGCAATAACCAAATTTGGTGGGATGGGAGCTAGTAACACAGCCTCGTGGGGGTCTGTAGTATTAGTATGATTATCAAAACAGAGACGAAAACAGATGTCCAGTTATCAGAAATGGAATGTTAATATGGGGACTGAAACAGGGTGAATCTCAAAGAACTCTGGGCTTGATTCCAGTATCACCACTCAGTCTGTCTGCTGTACCATGTTCTGTACCTGAGGCCTAGGGGAGGGCTTGGCCTACAAATGGGAATCAGTGATCCTTACCTGAAGATGGTGGATGGATGCAGCTGTTGGGAATTATACTGGACCTGATATATCTTGGCCAATGGAGCTACAAATAGGTGTGCTTAGCCACAGGGATATGGATGAGCATGTGTGTACTTCAGAGATTCTTAAACATGAACATGCAAAATACATCATTGGAGGTCTTGTTAAAACACAGAATATTGGGCTCCGCCTTCATAGTTTCTAATTTACTAAGCCTGGTGTCAAAGAATTTGCATTTCTACCATGTTTCTAATGGGTGATGCTGATACCCGTGTTCCAGTCATCAGTGTAGATAAATGATATTTTATTATTACTGAAAGAACAATACAATAACCCTTTCTGGCTTCTGCTTCATGAAAGCAGACAAGGCCATCCCCTTATGTTTTACTTTGCCTCTTCATGAGAGGGCAATAAAATGATGGTAAAGGAATAAGCCCCAAATATAGAAGAGAACCTCAGATGAGTAGAAGAAAGAAATGTATGTCATCCGAGAATGAATTTATGGCTGTTTATAGATAAAACAAAATGGCATCCAGCTAGGAAATGAGAAAGGATCTGTGTCATTTTTCAAATGAGCCTTGGAGAGCTCCAGGCTCAGAGTTAGCAGCAACAATGGAAACTGGAAGTTGAAAGGGTAATGTAAAAAGGGAGTGGAGTGCACAGGAGGTGATTACATCAAACACCACCGACAGAATGATTGTGATGATTGGCTACCTGCAATTTAACATCTCAACCTCACAACGCTTAGCAGGCAGAGGGTAGGTCACTCAGCATTTCGTTCTTTTAATTTAATGTTTATTTATTTTTGAGAGAGAGAGAGAGAGAGAGAGAAAACAAACAAGTGGGGGAGGGGCAGAGAGAGAGGGAGACAGAATTTGAAGCAGGCTCCAGGCTCCCAGCTGTCAGCGCAGAGCCCCACATGGGGCTTGAACTCAGAAACTATGAGATCATGACCTGAGCTGAAGTCGGATGCTTAACCAACTGAGTCACACAGGTGCCCCACCCAGCATTTCATTCTAAGACAAAAATGAAAACAAACCACAAAGACTTGAAAGACTTTGGAAGAAAATGAACTAATTGAGAAGAAATCAGACTACTCTGATGGATGCTGCTATCATCATTATTGAATCTGGGGGCCTTGTAAAATGAAGTCTTGAAGTTAATAAGCCCCAACTTTGTATCCATGGAGAAGTCTAGCAGTATAAGATTTCTGTGTAGATCAGCAAGTGGTTTTAAATATGAAAGTGTAACAGGGAGGCACCTGGGTGACACATTCGGTTAAGTGTCAGACTCCTGATTTCAGTTCAGGTCATGATGTCACAGTTTGTGGGTTCGAAGCCCATGTCAGACTCTGCACTGATGGTGCGAAGCCTGCTTGAGATTGTCTCTCTCTGCCCGCATGTGCTTCTCTCTGTCTCTGTTGAAACAAACTTAAAACAAAAAAGAGAACATATAATCGAAAACCACAAGGCATGTGACAAAACAGAAATCGATAAATGAAACCAATTGACTCTAGAAGAAACATAGTTATGGAAACAAAATAACAAATTTCTGGTGGGTAACTTCAGAGTGATGAAGGGATACTGACTATAACACAAGAGGAGAAAAATATGGAAAAGAAAATTAAACAACAAGAAAGAGCTCTTGGGGATTAAGTATGTGATCGTCAACATGTAATTTTAAATAGAAGTTTTAGAGCATGAAGTCAAGAAGAGCTCTCAGAATAAGGAGAAAATGCATAAAAAAATAGCGAATAGATAAGCAACACAAAGGGTCCATTTGGGAGGACTAACACCTGGCTCGTAAGAGTTCTAGAAAGATAATGGCAAATAAAGGGTAAGAAATAATCCAAGACATATTAGAGGTACTTTTCCTAAAGCTTAAAAAAGAAAGGCTTATCATCTTGCAGGAATCCAATGAATGTGGAGTAAAGGAATAGAAAAAACCAAGATAGACCTGTTATAAAATTTAAGGACACAGCTGATAAAAGATCAAAAAAGCTTTGGTGAGGAGGGACAGGAGTTTATCTGCAAAAAAAAAAAAAAAAAAATCAGATTTGCATCTGATTTCTCTTTAGCAATCTGGAAGATAAGAAACAATGAAGAGAGAAATAAAAGGGAAAACCATTTTAAACTTAGAATGGTATACCCTGCAGAGAGGACTAAAATTAATATTACCCCAAATTGGAAGGAGGGTAGAGTAAAATAAGTTTCATAAAGATTTGGGAAGATGGCTGCCAGAAAAAATTAAAATTCCATTACAAATAGTTTGCTTCTGGAGAGTGGGACTGGTTTATGTATGTCGAAGAGCACAGGAGGGATTATTGTTTTTCATAATAAGTTTTTCAGATTTATTCATTTTTTAACCAAGTACATATATTTTCCAAAACTAAAAAGGAGTAAAAAAATTCCAAAAGTTCTTGCCACTGAAGGGAGACTGCAGCTTTAAGATAGTATGCATGATGTACACATGATTTTTATTATGAATTCTTCCATTAAGGAAACCTTGGCTGAAATAGCTGCCTGTTTTAGAAAAATACCTTAAGAATTACAGTGCCTAGCTAGCTGTTTATATCCTCACCAACAATCCTTTCCCCAGTTCTTTAAAGCCTATCTGCTTAGCAATATAGGAATCTAGAAGTCAAATTAAAGAGGGGTACTTTCTTTTCTTCCTGTAAGAAGTGAGCTCAAGGCTTAGAATTTTGAGAACTCATAAAATGTGCAAATACAGATGATAATATTCCAGTATAGAGCACCAGTACTTAAAATGAAAGCATAAATGAAATTAGCTTTTTTATATGCCAAATCAGAGCATGCCTTACCCTGTGATCCAATTGTACATACCCTGAAATACGGAGTATATTGGTCAGCAATGAGTGCTGCTTCAGAAAAAGTAAGCCCTCTTACATCTAATTACTTCCTGTAACAGAGAGGGAGGGGCTTGGCAAGTGAGAGGCCAAACCATGATAACACCTGATCCCAGGAGAAGTCACAGATGTGGAGGGGAATGTTATGTTAGGCTACATGACTGGGAACTAGTACCCAGGTTCCTGAAGAATTTAATTCAGAGAGGGGTGCATTAATGCACCACCATTCCATTCCCTAGAGGAATTGTTAAGTGGGATCTTTTAAGTGTAAGTTTAGAGATAAATTGTCTGATAACCTCATTTGTCATTTGTGATGGAGTAGGGGACCTTTCTTAAAAGGGCGACGTTGCAGCCACTCTGGAAAACAGTGTGGAGGTTCCTCAAAAAATTAAAAATAGGGCTACCCTATGACCCAGCAATAACACTGCTAGGAATTTACCCAAGGGATGCAGGAGTGCTGATGCATAGGGGCACTTGTACCCCAATGTTTAGAGCAGCACTTTCAACAATAGCCAAATTATGGAAAGAGCCTAAATGTCCATCACCTGATGAATGGATCAAGAAATTGTGGTTTATATACACAATGGAATACTACGTGGCAATGAGAAAGAATGAAATATGGCCTTTTGTAGCAACGTGGATGGAACTGGAGAGTGTTAGGCTAAGTGAAATAAGTCACACAGAGAAAGACTGATACCATATGTTTTCACTCTTTTTTTTTTTTAATTTTTTTTTTCAACGTTTATTTATTTGTGGGACAGAGAGAGACAGAGCATGAACGGGGGAGGGGCAGAGAGAGAGGGAGACACAGAATCGGAAACAGGCTCCAGGCTCTGAGCCATCAGCCCAGAGCCTGACGTGGGGCTCGAACTCACGGACCGCGAGATCGTGACCTGGCTGAAGTCGGACGCTTAACCGACTGCGCCACCCAGGCGCCCCCATATGTTTTCACTCTTAAGTGAATCCTGAGAAACTTAACAGAAGACCATGGGGGAGGGAAGAGGAAAAAATATTGTTACAAACAGAGGGAGGGAGGCAAAACATAAGAGACT